TTTTATCTATCTATTCATATATCTTAATCTATCTATGTATCTAATCAACAACTAATGCAAACTTTACTAGCTTAAAACTCGTTGCCGGTTAAATGAACTAAACTTAACCGGCCAATCAATCTTTTCATTTTACAAATTTATTGTTAAAGCATTTAGTAACGAAGCTACGTTACGCATAAATAATAATAACAATAATAATAATAACAATAATAATAACAGCTATAATAATAATAAATTTAAATCATCGTTAGCTTTCACTAACAATAGCCTCAACTATGACAACGGCGTACATCAAAGTATTGTTCATTAGAAAGAACCACCCCTATAAATAATAATAATAATAATATTATTATTATTATTATAATTATAATTATTATTATTACTATTATTGAACCATGACTGATAACTTTAAATGTTAATGATATAGTTACAGTAAAACATCACGTTAAAACATGAGATCGAGTTGTTTTTGAAAAGTGAACATTTTTTATTTGTAAATAAAAAGTTAGCGCTAAATAAATTGATTTTTTTTTAATTAAAAAAAATTCAACAACGAATGGTATATATATATATTTTTATTTGATTCCAAAAATCAAATCAATCAGCTCGTCAATAATAATTAAATATAAGTCATGAAATATCAAATGAATAAAATATTTTAAATATAAAATATTTTTGATATGTTTCAATTAAAGTCATTGCATGCAAGTTTAAGAATCCTTTTCGACTGTGATTGATTTTGAAGATGTAATAATAATAACTACATAATTATGAAAATAAAATAAAATAAAATTAAGAAAAAAATATAAAAATTACTGGCAAATTATAGCACCATCTTGGGAGCTGCAGTGCCGTTAAAACTTTCAAAAAAAAAAGTTGAAGAAATTAAAAGAGCAACAAAGCGGGATTCAAGTGTAAGCAAAAAAGCTTAAAATCATCAATACTTGAAAGCAGCACAAGTCTACACATAAACACATACACAAACCACACACACACACACACACAAACACACACACTCTATTTCTATCTTTCTCTCTCTCTCTCTCTCTCTCTCTCTCTCTCTCTCTCTCTCTCTCTCTCTCTCTCTCTCTCTCTCTCTCTCTCTCTCAGACACAAACACACACACACATGACATACAAAAAGTTACAAAGATACATACACTAACACACAAATATCTCCATACACTCACCTACAAACATACAGACGCTAATACACAAAAACCCTCACAGACACACATAAACAAGCCCATAGGTACAAAGATAAGCACACATTAATACAAAAACACCAACACATACACGCATACGAACGCCTTGTGTATTGAATGTATTAATTATTAGACATAGATGATTACACAATACAGGTTATATTCGATATAGTTGTCACATAGCTGATGGATGATTTTAACCAGCTTGATGAAGTGTTATTGCACAAAAAGCAAGCAAACGAATTAAATTAAGGAAATAGACATTATCTCAATTGCATAACAAATTCACTCTTAAACAACACAGTAAAATCTATAATGCAACACATGTGATATGTATATACAACCTATACGCGTATATGTTCACACACGCACACACACACACACACACACACACACACACACACACACTCACTCACTCACTCACACAAACACACAATTCGATATGAATAAATTTCCAAAATATACATCACATGTTAATTATAACAATATATAATAAGCATTAACAACAAAATTGTTGTAAAAACAAAAAAATATAAATGTAAGCACTTGGGCTATCATTATTCACACACAAAATTGTCATTAAATGTTGAATGTGGGGAAATGTTTGGGCTGGACATTTGTATGACCAAACCAAGAATAATGGTAGTCAGTAGTTAGATAAAGTTCAGCTAATAATTTATTTTAAACATTTTTGAAAAATATTATTTAATTCAAATTAGATACAATATCACTAAATATTTACACTCATTAACAAGCTTAAAATCGCTTTAATTTGGTTTTTCAAAACATTCAGATGAAAATAAAATTGATAAATAATATATTAATATAATGTGTGTGTGTTGTGTGTGTGTGCGCGCGCGCGTGTGTGTGTGTGGACAAATTTGTGAAAGAGAAAAAAAATGATTGACTGACGAAATACGAAATGGACGAATTATAACGTAAATAAGTTTCGAGTTTCCATACATTTATCAAGTTACTCTGAAATATGTGCTAACCATCAACACATTGTTGTTATTATCCTCATCATAATCATCATCATCATCTTCTTCTTTTTTTTCTTCTTTTTTTTCATCTTTTTTTTCATCTTCTTTTTCATCTTCTTTTTCATCTTCTTTTTCTTCTTCTTCATCTTTTTCTTTTTCTTTTTCTTCTTCTTCTTCTTTTTCTTTCTTTTTCTTCTTCTTTTTCTTCGCTATCATTATCATCGCCATCATCATCGCCATATCGTCATCATCATTGTTATCATTATCATCACCAACTTTACGAACATTACCATCATCATCGTCCTCAAAACTTGAAATAACAACTTTCCTACATTACTACCAATCATCACACTTGTATGCCTATGCGGCTGGAGCTTAATAATACAAATTTGTCAATACCAGTCAATACAAGACACTTTACAAAAATACAAATATGTACAGTTACCATAGAATACAAGTTCCAAAGCAATAAATATTTTACATCCAGAAATCATAGAATAATCATTCATCTTAAAATAACTAAACTATACATAAGATGAAGCTCTTTTCAATGTTAAAATGAAATGAAGAAGACTAAGTAAAATTGGGAATGGCTAATGAAAAATAATTGTTAAGTTGCTATTGGTATTTTCTATTTGCACAAATGAATTTGATACACATCTGGCAAGTAATTTATAAAAACAACTGAACTCAAGCGAATGAATTGCAGAAATTGAAGCGTTCGAAAAATATCTCACAGTTGTGAGAATATTTGAAATCATAGATTTTTAAATGAACAAGTTAAATAATAAACAGAAAAACGAACGAATGAATGAATAAAGAAACGAATGAATAAACAAAATGAATGAACGAACGAACAAAATGAATAAATGAAACGTAATATAGAATGTCAAAAAACTGTGAAAATGGAGCAGAAATGATCTGGTGCTTCTAGCTCACCGTTGGCGTCCGTTGCCGTGATTAAACAGTTTAATGTTATACTAAAAACCTAAATAACATGAAAGGCGTAGCAACTTTACAAGCACCTGTAAAAACAACAACAACAATTCTTCTTCTTCTTTTTATTATTATTATTGTTATTATTATTATTATTCTTATTATTATTCTTCTTCTTATTATTATTATTATCAAGAACGAAAAAATGGACAAAACATTTCTGATGCCTTTAAGTTGATATCAATGAGAATTGCAAAAATTAAATGTCTCTTTCACATTAAGCATAAAAAAGAATAAAATAAAAAAGACACAGTAATAGCAATAGCAATGACCTCATCGATCAGAAAACCCAAAATGATTGATGATGGTGATGATGATTGTGGCTGTAATGATGATGATGATGAAGAAGATGATGATGATGATGAAGAAGAAGATGATGATGAAGAAAATGATGGTAATGATTGTGATTGGAATAGTGATGATGATGAAGAAGAAGATGACGATGAAGAAAAAGATGAAGATGATGATGATGATGATTGTGATTGCAATAATGATGACGATGATGATGAAGAAGATGATGACGATTGTGATTGTAGTGATGCTTAAGATTTGGATGATTAATAAAATATGATTACAAAATGTCGTTTAAGTTTTAAATGATGATGAGGACAACGATGATAACGATGATGAAATTAGAACGCTATAACAATCATAATAGCAATAACACAAAATAACAACAACAACAACAACAACAACAACAACAATAAGAATAACAATAAAACGGCAATAACAATAGCAAATGCGACTTGGATTATTTGTTTAATTATGCATATGGCGATAATAGTAGTAAAGATCATGAATATAATGACCCCGCGATGATGACGATGACGATGATAATGATGGTGGTGAAGACGAGGATGATGATGGTGACGCTGGTGGTGATAATGATGATGATAAATAGTAATCGTAAAGAATTTAATAACACTTCAATCTGGCTGACATTGTCAACTATAAAACTATAACTAATAAAATCGTTTAAAATGTTGTCCCACCATAGGGCGCGTACGTAGGCCTTTGGTGGTATGTGCTGGGGACAACCGACACGCTCCAGTGGTTTAGTCGCTTCGGCGCCAACAATCTATGACTGAAAATGCTACCGAAAAATGAAACTATATAAGGTATGAAACATGTAAGGATTTAACTTTGAAATTTTTCTTAATAAAGCTAACTTGAAATGTTTTGGCTGCTTAGCTAGAAATTGTTTCTTTAATTTTTTTATATTCTGTTGTAATGATGACAATGATGATATTGAGGAGTAATGATGATAGTAAGAATAAACATAGACAAGAAGGAAGGTGACAGTGACGTAATTTTTTCGATGATGGTAAGAAATAAGAAGATCATGAAAATATAAATTTAATTTCTCTCTCTCGCATTTATTTTTTTTCATTTTTCATTGTTACACGGAAACATTACGTTGTTAGATGGAGTTGTAGTGGCGGTCATATTCTCTAAACTAAACCCCAGGAGAAATTCATTGTATAGAGGGTTGTTTGAAAAGATAGAATCATAATGGCTGTTGCTGTTGTTGTTTACATGGTTAGTGTTAATGTTGTTGTTTTTGATGTTGTTGTTGATGTCATCATTGTTGATGTTGTTAAAAATTTTGATGCTATCAGGGTCATTGTAGATGCTATCATCTGTTGAATTAGCTACGGGGTAGTTGAAGTTGAAAAAATACGAGCTTTCGGGTCCAAGAAAATAAAAATTTTCATTGCCGGGGTTGTTGCCGTTGATGTTGTTGCCGTTGATGTTGTTGTTGATATTGATGTTGTTGTTGTTTAAATTGTTAATGTTATTAGTGTTGATGCTGTTTATGTTGATGTCATTGTTGTTTATGTTGTTGTCAGCGTTGGAATGGTTGAAGGCGCATGCATTATTAATGTCGCCGGTACAGTCGTAATTTACGAAGGGACTGTTATAGAAGTTGTAGCTTCTGTTTAAGGCAGTTTTGCCACTTAAATTTGTGTTTATGTTGTTGGTGAGGTTGTTTGTATAGTTTAAGCTGTTGTTGATGTTGTTTGCATAGTTTAAGCTGTTGTTGATGTTGTTTGCATAGTTTAAGCTGTTGTTGATGTTATTTGTATGGTTTGAGCTGTTGTTGATGTTGTTTGTATGGTTTAAGTTGTTGTTGTTGATGTCATAAAAATTGTTGTTACTTGAGAGTAAGTTGAAAGTGTCGTCATCGTTAAACGCATTGCTGTTTATGTTGTTGTTGAAATTGTTGTGGTTGAAATGGACACTGTTGATAAATTTCGTGGGATTCACGAACGAATCCAGATCAGTATCTACAGAAGATTGGAGAGATTTGACGCCATGCATGTCAGTCTGATTGTTGATGTTGTTGTTGTTGTTGACCATGTTGTTGGTAAGGTAATTACTCATGTTACCATCATCGCTGATGTTGTTGTTGAAAATGGCCGCAGAGTCCTCTAGTTTCGTATAAAACTTGTAATATTTCAACTTTTTTTCTCTCGCATTTTTGTCGTCGCTGCCATGTTTGTCGTCGTTGTTGTCGAAGGAGTTGACGCTGTTGTCACCGATCTTCATGACATCATCCGGGAGGCACCTTCTGTTGTATGGCCGTTTGCTATTGGCTGGTTTGCCGGTCACGTGGTCTAACGATGACGTTATCATTTCCTGTGCCGTTTTCTTTTGTTTGTACCGATGGTTTTGAAACCAGATTTTGATCTTTGGATGAATCGTTATAAAATATTTGATGAAAAATTATTCATGTGTTTGTTTTATTTTATGAAAAAAAATAATTCATAATAACTTCAAAAAGGATTTAATCTTGTTTAATATTTCTTCGTCCCACCATTTCAATCACTATAGACCTGCTTATTCAGTATTTTTACTCATATCTAAACACTCTCCTTCTAAATACTTTTAATTCTTCATAAAAAGACTGGACAGATGTTAAACTTTTTTGTTTACATAATTAACCGAAAAACGCTGTTGAAATTTTCAGGCATGACGATGTATAGGAGACTTAAGCGATTGAAAATTAAAAAAATTTTTTCTTCATTTGTGATTTTATCTTACCTCAAGCATCACAAACACATTTTTTTTATATTTTTGAGAATTTTCGTTGTTTTATAGTAAAAAAATGTTTTAGCAAATCCGTATGATAGTTTGCAAATCAGTTTCTTAATGAAAAAAAAAAACAATTCCTGTTAAATAAAATTTGTTTAACTAATTTTTCTAAACTCTTTACAAATAGTCGCTTTTCAAATTTGGCCACAAATGTTTGCTAGAAATAGAATCAGAAGTCAACCTGGTTGGCAGATAAGTTGAGAGACTTGGCGAGTTGTTCCCTCTCTGGAGTCGTCAGGTACTTCTGGTTCCTGAACCGCCTTTCCAATTCATCTGTCGTTCGCTTCGGAAACAAAATTCGACGTCGTTTTTTGTTGTTGTTGCTGCTGCTGCTTGTGACGTTGTTATTTGCGGCGTTTTTTGCGTTGTTGTTTGCGTTGTTGTCCATCCGATGATGGTTGTTATTCTGGTAAGTGTTTCGCTGGTGAGAAGGAGGATGTTGATAAAGAAGTTGATGAGGATGACGATGGGAGTGATGATGATGGTCAAAGATTTTCAATGTCGACGATGGTATTTTCTCCGTCAGACGTGCACAATTTGAAGATGACTGCTGCTGCCGATTCCGCTGCTGCTGATAAGATAGTTGGTCACGTGCTAGAGGCTGCTGCAAACCTTCATCCGACGGTGATTGGCAGAAATCAAATCCCTGCTGTCGATGTGGTGACGGCGTGGTTAGCGGCTGAAATATTTTGACTTCGTTGTTGTTGTTGGTGGTGGTGTTGCAGCTACTACTACTACTACTGCCCCCGTGATTCTCAACGCGGTTCATGTCGATTTTAATGCCAGGTAATTGCATGAAAGTATCGCTTGACTGTCGTCCAGTCAGTTCTTTAAATACTTTTTTATCGTCCCGGCCATCTGGCGTCAGTAGCTGCTCGTGAAAAAATATGGGCGGCTCGCTGCTGCAATTATTTGAAAATGTTTGCGATTGCCGTTTGAAATATTCCTCTGGGAGCGTGTTGCTATCGTAATGTCGTTGAAGGAAGGTTTGTTGCTGTTGTTGTTGCTGTTGTTGTTGTTGCTGCTGCTGTTGTTGTTGTTGTTGTGGCAATATTCGGTGACACACTTGTTGTTGCTCGTTTTGTTTTTCGTGAAGCTGCTGCGGTCGAAAATCAAATTTTAAATCCGTCGATTTCATGGGCATTGGCAAATGTGTGGATAACATTGGGCTTTGTCGGTAGTTATTCTCTTCAAATTGTGATCGGGTAAAAGTCTGTTGTTGTTGATGATGATGATGTTGTTGTTGCTGTTGTTCATGTTGCTGTTGTTTGTGCTGTTGTTGAATTACTTGCATCTGTTCAAATTCTTCGAGAGTTTTTTGTGGATAGAATGATGGATTTGAACCATGTCGTTCAACATTTTCAAATTTTTGATCCGTAGGCGGTTGTTGTTGTCTATGTTGTTGTTGTTGTTGTTGTTGTTGTTGTTGTTGTTGTATATTTTGTTGTTGCTGCTGTTGATGATGATTAAAATGTCGAATTATGTTTCCTGTTTGACATTCGGCCAAATATTTATCAACATTATTATCTCGAACTCTTTCCACCTCGTTTATAACTCTGTCATCCAGACCACCGATATCATCACCATCACCACCACCAAAACCATCATCATCTTCTTTCTCCTCTTCATCATCATCATTTTTCTTTCTCTCTTTTTCGTCATCACCATCCTCATCATTGCTGTTTTGATGTTGTTTATGAATGTTTATATCACCGTTGTTGTTGTTATTATTATTGTTACTATTATTATTATTATTGTTATTGTTGTTGTTATTATTATTATTATTATTATTTTCAAAGTTTGCCTGCATATCAATTTCCATTGCATCAGCGTAGCCAAATTTGATGTCACGTCTGTTTTTGTTGATGTTGTTGTTGATGTCATTGTCATTGTTGATGTTATTGTTAATGCGATCGTTATTGATGGTCATGTTATAGTAAGTGATGTTGCCGTTAATGTTAGTGTTGTGGCTTATGTTATTGTTGTTAATGTCATAAAAGCTGTTGCTAATGTTGTTGTTGATGTTGTTGTTGATGTTGTTGTTGATGCTGTTGATGTTGCTTGTGTAAGCAGCGTTAGAGTCGTTGTTGTAATTGTCAAACTCTTCTGCCGATTTCACTATTGCTTTTTTCTTACCACACATGTCGTCATTGTTTGCGTGTGATATAGATGAAACCTTGCGTTTCAGTGCTTTGTTGTTGCTGTTGTTGCTGTTGTTTACGTTGTTGTTGTTGTTGTTATTATTATTGCTGTTGTTATTATTATTGTTACTATTATTATTAGCCAAGTTGTTGTTAATGTTATTAAAAATGTTGCTAATAAAATTGTTATTACTTTTCTTCTTTGAGCTGTCGGTTTGGTTATTGTTGGTGATGTAATTATTATTATTTGCATTAATATTATTTACAATATTATTATTGTTATTTATGTTGTTGTTATTGTTGATGACGTAATTGTTGTTTATGTTATTTAAATCAACTCGTTCCACGTTGTTACTGGCTACGTGGTACTTGCTAATAAAACTATTCATCGACGGTGGTGCTGAAGATGATGACGTCATTGTTGATGGCGAAGCCGATGTTGATGTAATTGTTGATGTTGCTATTTTTGTTGAGTCTATAGAACTTGTTGTTAACGTATTTGATGTTGTGAAAGCTGCTAGTGATGTTAATAATGTTGTTGTTGCTGTATTCGATGCTGATGTTATTTTTTTTGTTGATGACAAAAATGTTGTTGTTGTTGTTGTGGATGCTGTTAGTGTTGTTGAGGTAATTGTTGTTGTTTTGATTTTCAAATTAACGCTTTGGGCAGTTTTATCGTCAGTTGCAAGCTTACGGGTTTGTTGTTTATGGTGATGTCGTTGATGAAGAAGTCGTTCCTC